CACCCAAATTAATATTTTGGCAAATAAGACCCTAAATATTCATAATTTAATCACATTTTGAGGGAAATCTTTGTCCGTGAATAAAATCTATTGGGTAATATATTGAGGTGGAGTGTTGACTTTTCCATAAAGCAAAGACGATATATGATGATTTTTACAAAACTGCATATCATTTCAGAAACGAATTCGGACCAGTCTGTGAATATGAACATTTTCACACAAGTTAGAGACTTATAAAAATCATACTAAAATTTATGAACAAACTAGACACATTTTCTAAACTCTCATAGTTTACGGATTCAGTTTTCGACTTCGTATGATTTTTCTATGATTTTTCTAAAACAGTGCAGAAAAGTTAAAAACTAGTTAGCAGCTTACAACTTTCATAACACTTTGTAACATGTTGAGCAAAGTGTTTATCTTTGATGACTTCATATTTTACATATGTTTTCCGTTAAGTTACATTTAAATAACAGAAATTACTCACTGAATTGTAAGAGTCCTTTATCATTACAAACATACAAGATGAAACATAAGAAGTATAGTTATGCTTTGCTAAACATATTAGTTACACAGAAAAGGTTTTACTCTCAATACAAATGGGTTTTCATTTACCACATGATAAATTATAATAGGTATAGTTTATGGATTTCACATTTCAAACATACTACACAAAAAGGGGATTTCAATTTCCTCCATGGAAAAGGTTTTACACGCATACTACACGTAAACTCGTTATCGTAAATTGTGAGACACGTCTTCATTGTACTCTTAGAGTACTGTTTAAAATTCCTGAAATAGTTATAACCAGAGTCTCTTGTAGGGAGAGCGTGATAATTGTGTATAGATCTATATTGAGGTTGACCGCCCACACCGATGCTGCTAAGACAGTCCGATCGGCTGATCGAGGGTGACAAATGTCATTTCATTTCCGACGCCTGAAGAACGTCGCAGCAGGCTTCTCTGTTATAGTATGATTATAGCGACTCACAAAGGGAGATAACGACACATGTAGTTTACGGGAATTTTTCTATTTTAAAAAGGGGTTTTATCTATTTAAAACTGCATTCTTCGTTACAAGTACGAACATTCATATACTCGGTCTTGGGATTTAAGACTACATGACATTTTATAAGGAAAATATTAGATTTTTCTTGGGTATACATTACATTTACAAGCAAGGTTTTTCAAATTCGGGATACAATACTCGGTTTTATTTCAAATAATAAAAATACTATACATACTGGTGGTAACCAAGGTTTTCAAACAGAACATACTATACATACTGGTGGTAACCAGGGTTTTCAAACAGAACATACTATACATACTGGTGGTAACCAGGGCTATCAAACAGAACATACTATACATACTGGTAGTAACCAGGGTTTTCAAACTCTACATTCAAAAGCTTATGAACTCACCAACTTAATTGTTGACACTTTTTCGAAACTACTTATATTCTCAGGAAATCAGTAAAACAAGTAACTCGCAGCTTTTGAGGATGGGATGCTAAGTCTTCAAACAGTTCATTTTGTCATCATAGTGTAATTAAATTTGAAATATGTAAACTCATACTATGGTGTAACTTTTTCAATTATATTTATGATGGTTGTATTTACTTTGAGCACTATTATACTCGTTGTTATGATACTACACATGAAATCCGCCACCCCCGGACATTTCCGCCATCCTTGGTTTGGGGGTGTGACATATGCTGACCGATGTTAGATCGGTGTGTGATTATATTCATCGAAGACGGCCTGGTCTATTCCAAGACCCAGGAGCTGCATGAGGAGCACTTGAGGGAGGTATTGGAGTCCCAGTGGAGGGAAAGAATGTATGTGAAGTTCTCTAAGTGTGAGTTTTAGTTCCACGAGGTGCAGTTTCTTGGGAACCTTGTCAACCAGAATACCATTCTGGTTAATCCGGCCAAAGTCGAGGCCGTGATGAGGTGGGAGGTTCCGAGGTCTCCATCCAAGATTCAGACTTTCCTTGGGTTGGCGTGTTATTATTGTAGATTCATTCAGGATTTCTCCAAGATATCGGTTTCTCTGACTCGACTGAAAAAGAAGGCTGCCACTTTTCGTTGGGGGGCTGAGCAGCAGGCAGCGTTTGAGACACTGAGACAGATATGATGTGAGGCACTGATTCTCACCTTGCCGGAGGGTTTTGAGGATTTCGTGGTTTATTGCGATGCATCGATCATGGGTTTGGGCGCGATTTTGATGCAGAGGGGTCGCATTATTGCTCACGCTTCGGGGCAACTGAAGCATCATGTGCAAATTATCCCACACATGATTTAGAGCTGGGGGATGTGGTTTTCACCCTCAAGATTTGGCGACATTACCTCTATGGGGTCCACTGTACTATTTACACGGATCACAAGAGCCTGAGGTACTTGATGGATCAGCTGAATCTAAATATGAGGCAGCGTCAGTGGTTGGATGTGGTGAAGGATTATAATTGTGAGATCATTTACATCCGGGGAGGGCCAATGTGGTGGCCGATACTCTTATCCGTAAGGCTTTCGCGGCTCCGATCAGGGATATTTGTATGAGGATGACAGTGATTACTCCACTCTTGGAGTAGATTCGAGAGGCTCAGGTCGAGGCTATGAAGGAAGAACACCGAAAGAGTGAGCACATAGTGGGATTGGTAGCTTCCTTCGATTATGATATCCGAGGTTTATTGACTCTCCATTGGAGAGTGTAGGTTCCTTATTGGGGAGAGTGTGGGTTCCTTATCCGAGGTTTATTGACTCTCCATTCGAGAGTGTGGGTTCCTTTTGGTGTCGTATTTTAGATCATTTCCACGCGTTATTAGGAAGAAAACGGAGCGGACGTATGACTCGATCAACGCATAATGGCGCGATTTACGAGTGGCTTGCACCAAATTCAATGGCATATTTGACAAGCTTAAAAATATGCATAGAAGTGGTAGCAACGATTTCAACATTTTAGCAACCCCAGCCTACAGATACAAAATTACCACCAAGATAAACCGTTCGGCCACCAAAAAGCGTGAGAAGTTTGTCGTAACAGTCCAAAATGGGTTCTATATCCGGAAATGGCGCAATCACGATCTACCACCGGTTCCAACAAAAGGGCAAGAACGTCCGAGTCAGACATGGGTTTTAGACTCGACCTCAACGATGACTTCGACGCCACCGAGGGGGAGGGCCCACCGGACGTCCAACTTCGTCGACCACCGGGAAGGGAAAAAGCGAGAAAGGGAGTGTCATCAAGCGGAAAAGCACCGGCAACTAGCGAATGCGAACTTGTGACATCCATAGATAAAGCTCTAGTTTTTCTAAAAAAAAAATACGAATAAACGGAGGAAGATCGTCGCCAAAAAATAGCTCTTACCGAACTTCAAATCATAAACACAAAGGTTGGGCCCCAACCGGATATCGACCCGGAAAATTTTGCGACGTTTCTTAGAATTCAACGATAAGTCCGGGACAAATATGAAATTCAGGCTCTAATATTTATGATTTTAAGTAATTTAGGATTTTAATTTTTTTTGTTTTTTTTTAAGAATTTTAGGATTTTAATTTGTGTTTTTTATATTAATGTAATGTGTTTTTAATTTTAATGTAATGTGTGTTTTTATTTAAATTTTAGTTTTTATTCAAATTATGGTTTGTATTTTGTTTTTTATTTAATATAATGTTAAAAAATAAAAAAAAGAATTTGTGGAGTGGTAATCATTTCCAATGTCTAGTTGGTTGATGGTGAATCTGACGTGACACACAGGTGGCAACAGTTTTTCGATGAGGTAGGTGTGACCACTCCCCAAAGCCTAACCACTAGCCTCAGCCCTTACTCCTCAGTCTTTTGTAGAACTTTGATAACCTAAAAGGTGCTTTTGATTTACAAAATTATCCCTCACAAGTTCAATGGAACATATTAAAAAAATAATTATTTAAAGATTTAAAGTCTTTCCTTTTCCCATTGAACTCTAAATCAATTGAATGCCAAGGTGGCATTTCATAATGGTGGAGTTGTATCCATTGAATGACAAGTAGGCATGTCACCTCATTCAACTCTTCTATTAAACTCCCTATTGTGGATGCTCTAAATACAAATCGTGTCGCTTATCAAAGAGTACAAAGAAAGCAACTTAACAAACACCACATAGGAATGAACAGGGCAAAACGTATTGAGTCTGGCATCTAATCAGCAAATATTAGAGTAAATTACACGAATGGTCCCTATGGTTTAGGGTAGTTTACGCGTTTGGTCCCTAACTTCTTTTTTTAACTCGGAAGGTCCTTACTGTTTGTTTTTGTTACGTGCTTAGTCCCTATTGTTTGTTTTTGTTACGCGTTTGGTCATTGCCTTACCTAAAAAGACTATTATTTAAATAGGAAAAATGATGGATAGATAAGGTAAGGTGATGAAGGTGAGGTTTGGGGTGTGTTTATTTAAATAAATTAAAAAATCATGGTCAAAATAGTCTTTTTATGTAAGATAGGGACCAAGCGCATAACAAAAACAAACAGTAGTGACCTTCCGAGTAATAAAATAAGTTAGGGATCAAATGTGCAAATTACCCTAAACCATAGGGACCATTCATGTAATTTACTCCAAATATTATCAATTGGAAATCCAAGTACATAAGCCATCGGTATTTCTATAAGGAAAAAAAAAATATAACAGCAACAAAACATTGAAAAACTTCATACAAAAGTAACGAAAACATTGATGCCTAGTTTATCATCAATATGTATCTACAAAATTTGGTTCAAGTCTTTTTGCCAATGTCTATCACTCTATCATACATCCAGAAGTTTAACAGATTAACAGAGTCTGATTGTGCACCATAACAAACAAATGCAGCTGCTTCGAAGCTTGATATTACATTTGAGAATTACATAATTAAACTGAATCATTTGGAAATGTATTTTATACAAGCATATGTTTGTATTACATGCAAATCACTTCACCAATTTTTTTTTAAAGGAAATAAAGGAAGGGATGCATAAAAAATGAAATCAGTTAATCTTGGAAAGGATTTCGTTCAACAGAAGCGTATAAGAGGAGGTCTGGGTCACGCTCCACTATGTCCATCTCTTCTTGACTCAACGTTACCCATGCTTCAATCCCATCACCCGTGCGCGTATCCATCAATAGTATTGCATTCGTAAAAAGAGCATCAGTATTGCTTGAATTCCCATAACATGACCACACAGGCCTTCCCCAACCAAAATCAGCTTCATATAATCCAGAATGACACATGCTACTCGACGAGTAGTAATCTGCGTCGTATGTTGACATTTGACCACCTAACCGTTTTAGTTCATCAATAACATTATTCGACCCTTGTTCTCCTTTAAACTGCTCAACAAAGCTGGTGTTAACTTTGGCGATACCGGCGTTCATGAGCCCGACCATGGTATCAAATCTTAAACTGTCTTTTGATTCACACCTAGCCACCGCGTTCCAGATAATGTTTCCAATCGAATTAGGAGGCAAGGGTGGGGTAAATCTACCACGTATATTTACGGCAGTTTGCAAAATTGATGGTCTTTCTCCATGTAGTTTCCTTGCGGCAGCTGTTGCGCAGTTCCAAATTAGTGAAGTGACTGCTACAACACGAGTGGAGGAGACAGATGCAGCTGCTCTTTCCTTTAGTGCTTGTAGTGCCGATGCATTGAACCAAAATCTCTTGGTCAAACACCTTCCTCTATTCAATATCATAGGCCTTTCCGCCAAGGATGATAGAGGGATAGATGGATATGTAGGTGGTATACTGTTGGAAAGAAATAAAGACGAAGCAACAAAACTAGGGTAAATCATCTTCTGTTGATCTCCCTTTGCTGCAGCTGCCCAAGAATTTAAAAACGCCGTGTAAGTGCAGCCATCAATGAGCTTATGCGAATTGGACATGCTAATACCAACACCACCGCAACTAAAGAAGTTGACTTGGATTAAAGAGAGAAAGTATCCTCGTGTTGGCTCCTTTAAATTTGGAGGAATGGGAAGTAGCCCTTGGAGTAACTTGTAATCTGGTTTTGCCAGAAAACTTGAGAGAAAGCTGTCATATCGTGTCTCAACATAATACACCCCTTCGTCATTGCACTCGATATGGTTATCGTTGATATACTTTCCTGCAAATGGGTAAAACCGAGTGAGTGTTTCCGAGAGTGAATCCCTCAACAGTTTGGATCTTTCTGTGACCAAGTTGTCGATGTTGACTATTGTGTTCCCATTAACATTGTTTGGATAAAAGAAAATAAATGGAACGTAGGAAGGGGCATTGACTTGATCCAATGCCGAAAGCTTGTACGATTGGAGGGTATGTGGAGTTGGCTTATCCGGCTTCACATATTGTACAGACATCACGCGGATTGCATTTGTGGTCTTTTCTCCCATACCATTAATACCATTATTCCTCTGCGAAAACTCGAGTCTACAAAATAGAACATGAAAACACTCGTCATTATTCCGAAGAAGCCATTGTTCTTTATAACAAGGAAACGTTATTTCTAACAAAAAAGAAATATTGCATATTGATGACCACACAGAAGAGATAACGTACTGTTCTTGTATCACACTTGTTTTACCCGAAAAGAAGTAAACTTGATACGTATGCTTGGTGGTTACGAGAGATGCTGCAAATGATCGGTGAAGCAGACTAACAGGTTTCCACGATGCCTTTGAAAAGGCTAAAAAGCTGTCGAATCCTCTCATCATTCTCACCTAAATGACTTGTGACTATATATAT